CCCAAAAAAAAAAACCCTGACATACCCTAGGCCCTGGATCAACGAATAGGCACTGATGCTGAGCGCACGTGCAGGGCTAGCCGCACACGTGCTGTGCGCGGCTCTGTTCATGGTGAGTTTTCAGAGCTGGGCACAGCACGTGCAAGTAAATACCAGCACGTGCAGAGCCGCGCACAGCACGTGCAGCACATGCCGGGCGCAGCACAGCATCTTTGTGCACGTGCATACCTTGACAAGGTTACAAGTTGAATGTTCGTTGTTCACAAACTGATTTTGGAGGAGAATCTGAAAATTCAATCACTGAATAATCAGTTTTTAAACGATAATACGAAGTTCATTTTAGTGCCAAAATGATCGACATAAAAAATAATAGTGCAGTGGCGTTTATGTGAAGCTCTCACGAAGATTTGCGTTATGATTTAAGGGCACTGGTGTAGGGAACAAAGGTTCATGCAATATGCTCGGACACTGTCTACCTGAAGAAAGAGTGAATTTTGCCAGATAATTAAAGGTAAGCTAGATATTATGTTGTGATATCACATGTTTAAACATACGATCGTAATTTTAAATGGGAATTTTATGTAATAAAATTACATGTTATAAAAAAAATTACATAAATTATGAACATAGATAGCTTAGCTAAGATGATAAAAAGTAGCAGAGTTTTATACATTTAAAAAGTATCACTTAACCAAAATCACAACATTGAATATAAATCAATTAACTTGTGAACTTTACGATCAGTTTCAGGTGCCGGATCTTTTGAGTTAAAACACTAGTTTTAAGTTAAACGTCACATCTGAACGGACACGTGATGCATCACGTGATATATCACGTGATGAAAACTAACATGTGATGTAAACTAACACGTGATACAAACTAACACGTGATGTAGTGATGTAAACTAACACGTGATGTAAACTAACCGACGAAGGCAGCAGCAGGTGTAGGAGGAGTGTGCCATGACTGGTCGGCTGCTTTACGTGCGAACATCAGGTTACTACCTCTTTTAATGTTACCAGAGTTCCACAGAGCTGTGCAGAAGGTTTATTTTTAAATATTATTTTATTTTAAATATTATTTTATTTGAAAAATAACAATAAAACATAATTTGAGCGTTCATTATTTGTATATTTAGTAGAAGCTTGTTCTTTTAAGTCGATACATTTTTTGTCAAAAAAAATTGAATAGGGTACAGTGTGATAAATAAAATTATTTCTTTTTGTTTGAGATATGAAGTTGACGTACCCTTGATACAAGCGAACCATCCCTCCTGAGTACCCTGTACAGCAGGGAGATCAGATACAGCTAACCCGCAGTTGTTAACCGTCATTATCGTTGTAGTCAACTGAAATAACAGCATTTAAATAACTGAACGTATTGCTGCTAACACTGACTTTATTTCAAAAAACGTAATGTGAAATTAGGTGCTAATCAACAGAAATTACAGCTTTCTATTGGTTGTTTCAACGCAAGGTCTCTTTGCAACAAAACTTGTGGCATACTAGAAATGCTTAAGGATAACTCGATCTCTATCTGTTGTATCACGGAAACTTGGCTTAAATCTAATGATCGGGCAAAGTTTGCCGAAATTCGTGATTTTGGGTTTGATATTATCAGTGCCCCTCGAAGAGGTAGGGGAGGTGGTGTTGGTTTTCTCTTCAACCCCAAAGTGATTTCGCCTGTACGCAATGATGTTACTAAATATTCATCTTTTGAAGTACTTGAATGTGTCATTAAAACTGCTGGTGAGGTTATCAGGCTATGCGTAGTTTATCGCAGCACTCAGGCCAAAACAAAATATGATGAAACAAAAATATCTAAGTTTATGGATGACTTTGATGGATACCTGGACAATCTTCTGCTTAAAACTGGATCTCCAATTATTTGTGGTGACTTTAATTTCCATGTTGAAGACCTAAACAATAATGTTGCCCAGAACTTTATTGCTCTTTGTGAGAGCAAAGGCTTCCTTCAGCATGTCGACTCTCCTACTCACATCTCTGGTGGGACATTGGACTTGTTATTTACTCTAGGCTGTGTAAGTGACTCATTGTCTGTAACAGATATATGATGGTAGAGACAAGCACTGGAACCAGCTCTGATCACTATCTAGTAAGTTTTCAGATCCCAGTCTCATTCGATTTTCATAAAGCTCGTACATATGAAGAAAAAGATGTCAGAGAGCTAAGCAAAATTGACATCGATAAGTTCAGGGAAGATCTGTTTTGTTCAGAGCTTAACCTTTCTGAATATCAATCCTTAGATGAGGCTGTGAACCTTTATAAAAATGTCCTTGAACAGGTGCTGGACAAACATGCCCCACTTATTACGAAACGATTTACTGCTGAAAAGTCTGATTTTTTGGGATGAAAAATGTCAAATTGCTGTCAGAGAGAGGAGAAAAGCAAAACGAAAAGCCAAAAAGTATCCAGAGAATGATGAGTTTAAAACTACTCACTTTGAAAAGTGTGTTGACGCAGAAATCACCATCAATCGAGCTAGAGATAGCTACTATGATAAACAGCTCAGTTCTTGCAAAGGAGACTCGAAAGGGACCTACAAAGTCATAAATAAACTTTTAGATAAAGAATATGGCTCCAACAAACTGCCAAATGGTGAAGATATCGAAGTGGCTGAAAAACTCAAGACTTTCTTTGACAAAAAAGTAAAAACCATTTACTCTAATATTGAGAAGGAAATTCAAAACACTTCCCTTAACGGTCAAGGTACCAAAACTCTACTTTGATAGAGAATACAAAGTGTAGACTTGATCAGTTTAAGGAAGTCTCATTATCAGAACTTGAAACCTTAATTAAGAGTCTTCCCAATAAATCAAGTGTACTCGATGCCAATGTGGCGCTGGCTCTTCAAGAACTGCTTACCCGAGCTTCTCCCAATCATCTATTACATCGTGAATGAATCACTAAGAGTCGGAAAGTTTCCATCTGCCCTAAAAGAAGCATCTATTAGGCCTGGACTCAAGAAACCTACCTTAGATGTTGATGAGCTGAAAAACTATCGACCGATTAGCAATCTAACCTATCTGTCCAAAATACTAGAAAAAGTAGTTCATTGCAAATTAAATGAATATGCTGATGTCAACAACCTATTTTCCCCATTATATCAATCAGGCTATAGAAAATTCCATAGTTGTGAAACTGCAGTTACAAAGATACATAATGATATTCTAATGATGATTGATAGCAAATCGAATGTTGTGCTTCTACTCTTAGATCTATCAGCCGCTTTCGACACCATAAACCATAATCTCCTTCTTACGAAACTCAAGAATGCGTATGGTATTACAGAACTAGCACTCAGCTGGTTACAGTGTTACCTTAATAATCGCACATTCAAGGTTAAAGTTAAAAAAGCCACATCTTCTGAATGCTATCTGGATATTGGTGTACCTCAAGGATCCATTTTAGGACCACTACTGTTCATATTGTATACCAGAGATCTTGAGGAAATTGTCACAAAATATGGTTTCTCGATACATTTGTATGCAGATGACACACAGGTGTACTTTGCTTTCGATGTTCACAGTTCTAATCCTGATTTAACAGCTGTGAAAAATTGCTTTCTGGATATAAAGCAATGGATGACAGTTAACTTCCTAAAACTGAATGATGAAAAAACAGAGTTCATTGATATAGGACCATATGTCAGCCCAATCCATACAATGGATTTAGGAGACCTCTCAATCTGTCCTGTTAGCAAGGCCAAGAACCTGGGATTCCTTTTCGATCACCAAATGAATCTGGACTCTCAAATAAATGCTGTGTCCAAAGTATGTTATTTGAATCAAAGGGACTTATCAAGAATCGGTTCAAAGCTTTCCCATGAACTAAAAGTTCAGTTAGTTCACTCCAATATTCTCTGTTTCATAGACTACTGCAACTCAGTCTATTATGGTATAACAGAAAAGAATCTCCATAAGCTACAAAAGATACAGAACAATGCTGCTAGATTTATTTTTGGTCTTTACGGAAAAAATATACGTGAACCTATCATGCATTACCTCAAAAAGCTCCACTTTTTACCTGTTCGGTTCAGAATCAAGTTCAAAATATCACTTCTGGTCTTCAAGTGTCTTAATAACATAGCCCCTCAGTACTTACAAGGACACATCAATCTAAGGGTAGTACGAAGACAAAGTTCCAGACTAGATGATGACTTTTATTTGTTGAAAGTTCCTCCTGCTCCTCATTTCAGACGAACGGATGCTGCATTTATGTTTTGTGGACCAAAAATTTGGAATGAACTACCCTACTCAGTGAGATCATTATCATCTGTAGAATGTTTTAAAAATGCTCTAAAGACGTTTTATTTCCACCTAGCTTTTGATAATATTTCTAATATTTGTCCATAAAGTCTGAACTGATATGAAAGTGCATAATTTTGGGAACTTCATGCAAATATTTGTTCATAAAATCTGAACTGATAAAAGTCCATAATCTTGGTATTTCAACACTAAGTCTCGCTTGAATGACTTAAATGTACATCTTTGTTGGGTATATTTTAATGTCGAAGCGTGTAATAAATGTTAGAATTTATTATTTATTATTTATGAATGTAATATTTACATGGGTATTGGGTAGTTACATATTATTTTGAAGAGTTCGAATTTTAAATTTTAATTGTTAAATTGAAGCGCAAACTAAACATTAAATTTGAATATTCAGCCAGCTATTAAGTATCAATGTTTGAAACACCAAAATATCAAACATTTTTAAAAGCAGCTACCTAGTTCTATAGAAGTTACACTACAACTGACCTGTAGTGGGTATGATAGGAAGAGTTACACTACAACTGACCTGTAGTGGGTATGATAGGAAGCCGTGAATAGCAGATACAGGGAGGGTAGTTTTACCTTCTGCCGGGGCTGGAAGTCCTAACTTCTTGTTTATCTGAACAGTTTATTTATTATTATCTTAATAAAATCCTGCAAAATAAGGTTTAGGGTCTAGGCTTTTTGTCAGGAAAATAAACAAATTATGGAATGAAGAACATTCCAAGGTTTCTCTTATCTTAAAATGTCAAGAATTACCAACCCGTTTCACTAACCTCCATTTTCTCGACTATCTCTTGAATGAGAACCTCAATAGCTTTACCAGATACCTCTCCCAATAAATGTGGGATTATACCCGCGTAGAACCCTAACAGACCTTCCTCACTGAGATATTAATTATAATATTAATAACTATATATATAACGTGAATTATCAATTAATATTGATTTGAAAAACTTTTCACGATAATATGCAAACGTGCCGTGATGTCCCCTTTGATAGCAGAGAAACTTACAATCTTAATCCCTGCCAAGCAAAGTAATTTGCTCAAATATTAAAATACCTCAACTCAACAACCAAGTTGAGGTAAAACCGTTTAATAACTAAATAATTAATTAATTAAATAACAAATTTACTGCATTCCTCAACTCACGTGAAGATAGTAGCAATAGCACCAGTGACAGTACTGTACTTATCCTCTCCCCCAATAAGTGAAACTATCATCCGGTTAGTAACAACTAGCAGAGGATGCGATGTTATCACTGCTAGAGCTGTTGCTGCGCACTGCCTCCCTACCTAGTTAGGGTTTACTGTTAAAACCTATTTTGGTAGATCCATTGACAGTATAGTATCCTGCTGTCCTACATTGTCAAAGTTTTTTATAGGTTTTACTGTTACTACATCTGACCGATAAATATTTATTGATAAAGTGCTGTATCAAATTTTACTTTATTTCTTATTGTATTTATTTATCTGACCAAAGCTGTCCACGCTTCAGCTGCAGAGGGTAATTATAATGACGTGCTTCTTTCATTTCTTAAATGATAGATATAAAATGAATCATAATTAATCTCAATCTTAGTACAGAGTACCTTAGTTCCCAAAAATTTGTGTGCCATTATATTGAGCACAATTTATTTGAGCCCGAAAAATTTGGGCAGAAAATTTGAACTCATTTGGGCGACCGAAAATTTGGGCACAAATTCTTCGAAAAATGAACGATTTCCACTAAAATTTCAGTTAGATATTTGCCTTAATTCATTATTATTCCAGTCATTTTGCTTTCAATTTTAAGCATGTAGGTGGTAGTCTGAGTTGTTTCACATTATGAAATTTACGATCTGCCCAGTAACTACTAAAAAATACAGTGATGATGGCACAGTACAAAATGATAGATATACAATAGTGATATTTAGTCTCTCAATCAAATAGTTTAGTCTATTTACACTCAGCATATCTTATCATACCCCTTTCACATACAATTATCATTATGACGCCTCACCAGATGGTCGAAAGGTTTGAAAGAAAATTAGAAGGTTTACATCATGATCTATCAAACTAAGCGGCACATACGCTTAGCTTTGGGGGAAACAAAGGTGTACATAATTGTGTGTAGCGAACTACTTTAAAGTGTAAACCCGGACCAAAGGTCAAGTCTAATTTTAATTAACCAGCTAATATGACCCATCATCTACAGCCCCTGGACATATCTATCAATGGACTGGCTAAGAAATTCATGCGCAATAAGTAAGAAGATTGGTACGCGAAAAACATAGTGTGTCAGCTCAATGGAGGAGTTTCATCAGACAGTGTGAAAATTGATACCCGCTTGACAGTGATCCGTGAAGTACACGCTCGTTGGATCAACGAACTTTTTGTATATTTAAAAGGGAGGCCAGATGACATAAGGAAAGGCTTTGAGAAGTCGGGTATAACTGATGCTTGTAGATCAGACTTTACGGTGGATGATAATCCATTTGCAGATCTTGTTTAAATCTCTAGCTATCCGTACCTCGCTCTAGCCATTTGTTTTATTAGTAGCTGTTACCTGTTCCAGTTATTTCTATTCATTTAAAATATAAGCCTTTTTACTTGGTGAAGCCATGAAGGACAGATTAGAAAACTAAAATTTCAAATATTATTTCACTTGGATATGAAGAAAAAGCCATCTTTCTATAGATTTCAGGGCCACAGGCCAAATGCCAAAAGTTTGGTTATAGCAAAAAATTTAGCAGACGGAAAAGATGTATGCAATTAATTTGGTCTGCAAAAAATTTGGGCGAGAGGCCCGCTCAAATTTTTTGTCGCCCAAATTTTTGGAAATTAAGGTACTATAAGAACTGATCAATTAAACAATTAACTAATGAACTTTAAATGAGTTAATGAGTTTACCTCAGAAGCAATCTGTTCAGGAGGACACTTGCTAGTAGAAACTGGAAGTGCCGCTAACACCTCACTCCTGACAGAGTTTGTAATGAAGACCCCTCCTAGTCGGGGTGTCAGACCTCGGTAGAGGACTAGGCGGGATCCTTCTTTGTCTGCCTGGAGATTAGCTAATTAGTTAAAGAGTTAGTTTTTAATTAGTTAATTAGAGGGGATTACACTATTTACTAGTGGCAGAAAGATATAACGTTATCTCATATATTAAATTTCTTCCCATTCAAATGTCTCCCTTTAAAAAATTGTTTGCAAAAAAGGTCGGGTTTTCTAAAATTGTCCTCATTGGTACCAAATTTCCTCGCAGTTGCCGTGTTTCTGGATGTAGAAAGGTTATTTAATATGATTAATTTATAATTGCAAACGTGGAAATTGTTTATAAATAATAAACTCACCAAATATTTCATGTATTTGAAGATGTTAGGATAGTAATAACCCCCAGAGAAGAAGAACATGCTCGGTTGCCTGAACGTCGGAGGAAGTGGCTCGTAACCAACCTGGAAATATTTTACTTTGTTATTAATCAATTAAGTAATTAATTAATTAATTAAGTTATAGTGATAAGAACACGAATAATCAGTTTGATGAAAATTCGTTAACTGTGATCGACCGGTATTATATAAAGAACACTAACCACTGCTTGATTACCGGTTAATTATCGGTTAATTACAGATTAATTGCTAATTACAGGTTAATTACTGCTAATTACCGGTTAATTACTGTTAATTACTGCTAATAACCGGTTAAGAATGTATAACCGACTTTATGATGCTTCTACTAAACACTACCTTACTTAAACATAGTAAACTGATACATTACAAATTCAAACTACCTTTAATTGCAAGCTTCGTTTAACGCTGATTTAAAAGTTTGATTACCTCTATCTCGAAAACTCCTTATTTACTTATTTGAGCAAGTACATTTATATACCCTTATTCAATAAGTGTAATATTCCATTATCTCCTAATATCATAGGGACATGATATTACAAGTGCACATACAGTACAAATTGATAGCATATTTCAAATGCTTCACATAACAAGCAACTAGCTGTGACCTGTTAACAATACATATAGCTAACTATACATAACTATACATATAACTTAATATAGCTGAATAACGGTGACAAATGTTCTTATAGCCGGAGTACTCCGGCTCATAATGTAGCCAGATCGGGAAACAAAAAGTTAATGACTTCCCCGATTCCTCCCAGAAAGTTAAATGAGGTTTTAAATACTTCTAAAGTTCTAAATGACTATCAGCACCAAGGTATTTTAGTATGTCACCGCAATCATACTAATCATATACCTCACATGATATTGCTAGTGTTTTGCAGGATTCTTCATATTTGGGGAACCTAACTTATGACATTCGGTAAGCTTTTTAACGACGAAACGAAACGAAACACAGTATTTACTACCCCGCTACTATGCGACAAAGATATTGTATAAAAGATAAAGAAATAATTTACACACTACGGTGCCCATGTCTGAGCGGCTCTCCTCAAAAAACTTTCTTTCCTCATCGGAACAGAAAGTTTTAATTAAATTATGAAAATTTTGCTTTATTAGTAAAAAAACTTTTCTTGTACAACAAAATATTTTCTGTTTTATTACTTAGCTACCTGAAGCAGAATGGAGATAGTATGGAAAGGCTTGCAAATCAAAACTTGTGCTAAACTGCCGGCCATTCTGACGGTAGGGTTCTTGCCAGCTTCCGAGCGTAACATTCGCACTATGTCACCGTCTACATTAACCATGGCTATAAACGGGCTGCTTTAGATGCGGACCATTTGGGTGTTAGGTGCAAATTATGCGGCAAATTATGGGGGGAGGTTTTGATTTTTATTGTAAAGTTTTAAATTATACAAAACAATAGAGGAAATGTTGTGTGTGGAAATTGAAGCTGAGTCGGTTGGTTAGTCACGAATTATTGTGGTAAACTAAAGTGAGGCTTTGTGGATATCTGTACTCTTGTGACCTTCAAATCCACAGACAATACTAATAGGGATTTATTGAATAGGTATTTTGCATAATTATTTTAATTCATTCTGTGAATTACCATAAAAGAGCAATATATCATTAAATATCATTTGAAAGCGTAATTGTATCACATAAAAAGCGTTGTTTCTTAAAAACAAAGAATTAGATCAAATAGTGCTCTGAAAAGTATAGAGCATACTCAGGAGAGTGACCTCTTCACTAGAAGCGCACTTAACTTGCACTAAATGTGCAGTAAATGTGCACTTAACTTGCACTAAATGTGCATTAAATGTGCACTAAATGTGCACTTAACTTGCACTAAATGTGCACTAAATGTGCACTCTACATTAACTCTATACTAACTTGAATAAGTATTTTGACGACATTGACGGGCTGTAGAAGTGCAGTGTACACACAGTTCACAGTAAGGTCACCCACCGAGGGTAAACCCCCAAAAATCCTGTCCATTGTCCTTCGCTAACACGGGGGAGGTGGTTAGTTTTCATAGTGTGCAGATATTTGCTGGATTAAACAAGAGTATGGACTTTCGACGAGAGACGAAGACGAGAGACGAAGAAATGTGTTTTATGTTGAAAATATTTTTTTCTGAAGAGATGGAAAATGGAAATGGGGTCCTTACCGTACGTTACGAAAAATAATCATTATATAATTATTATAATTTTCTACGGTTATTATACCTAGGGTAAAGCACATAATTTTGTCATTTTTTGGCAATTTTCCGACTGCCTGATATAAACCATGGGTTTTAACCTCGTCTGAAATTCCGATTTAGATGAAACCTCCACCATGTTATAGTAGACAGTCTAGGCAAGTTCTAACACAAAAATGATCGAAATTGCTGGGGTTGAAGATGTTGAAAAAAATTATTTTGAAAAAATGACAAAATTAGGTGACTTTACTTAATTTTGTCACCCCGAACCTAATTTTGTCACTTGAAGATTGTGCAAAAAGTAACCGTTTCTCGGTATTTTAGACTACCTGGATGCATCATTCGAGCGCTTTTTTACCAACATTGACCTCAAAAATCCCAAAGATATGATGTTTTCATAGTTTTGTAGCTTGATGAAAAGATGACACTTTTTGGGTATCTAATCTTAGAAAATAGCCCCCAAATGCCCCTGAAACCACTGGCATCTTGAAAACTTTCTATGAAGCATGAATCAATATTGGTTACTGATTCACGAAACTATATTTACCAATAGCTCTTTAAAACCCAGAATTACAGTATATTTCTCGGCGAAAATATGCTATTATAAGTGTTTAAATGCTATTATAAGTGCCTTATACATATCCTATGGGCAAAAAAACTTCAGAATAGTTGTATAAGGCCATTTTCAACACAATCTGTGATTTACAAGAAATTTGAGAAAGGTCAATGTTTTTGACAAAATTAGGTACTTTTTGCAAAATCGAACCTAATTTTGTCACCCTCTGTAACTTGAACAATAATTGCGCTAGAGACTTGAAAATTTGTACGTATACTTCTGCTGTAGAAGACATTTGAAATATGCAATGGCATGAAGCTAGCTCAATTACTTTTGAAATAGCAATAAATCAAAATTTTGAAAATTCCTTAAGAAAACTTTAAGGATCTTATTTATTTTTCGGGTTAACAGTTTCGCCTTCATTTTTGACACAGATGCAAAAGAGCTAGAAACTTAAACTTTGTAGGAGCAGTTTCAGCAAAGTCTAAGCTTTCTTTTTATACACAAACCTTTTCTTTCAAGCTGAAATTCCGAGCCGAGGCAGTTTTTCATAGCAAAATGACAAAATTAGGTACCCTGACAAAATTACGTGCCTTACCCTAGATAATTGCAATTTATGACAGTTTAACACTGATCGAAATGACATAATGAAACAAAGTATTCAGATGGTTTTTCAGTACAAAACTATGACCACTGCATGATAGAAACAAAACATAAACAGTAAACATTGATATAACTTTAGGAGCTATCACTGAACTGATTTCATGATCAGGAAATTTAAATTTATAACATTGCTACTGAGGTTCTGCATTTTCGAAAAGGAACGTTTTAGCCACTAGATGATATTATAAACTTATTAAACTGTATACGTAACCTATTTTTAATGATAACGAACGATGTGGAATATCCATTTCAATTGTTTGGTATGTCTTTGAACTAGCAAAGACTTGGTGAGATAATGTTGACCATGTTGGCACAAAATCAATACATTTCAAACAAAGAACGTTCTCAATCAAAGAAATAAATAAATTACTGTTTCAAAAACTGATCAAGAAAAGGAAAATTGAAAGCAGGCAGTATCAATCCAACGTTAGGAATAATACAATTAAAACTGGCAACTTTTAATAGTATTTACTTTAAATATTATATACAAGATGGTCTTTAGTGTTATAACAATTATACCACAATAAGCCTAACGACTCCTAATTTGAAATGCATCTATAATTCGAATGAAGAATTTTGAGATTATTCGTCGTCTTCATCCTCTTCATCCTCTTCTTCATCATCTCCATCTTCAGGTTCCGCTGCTTCATCTACTAGAGCATTACGCTCAGCTCTAATCTTGTCTAAAATAGAGAGTTCAGTAAATACTAGCTTGAGATGAAAAATATAATTCTTAAAGCAGATGTACCTATGAAAGTTAATCTACTTTGTAATTTCATTTTAATAACAAAATCATTCATTGAATCAATGAGACAGTTTTTAAAAACTGTAGTATCTAAAATATAATTTGCAGTTAAAATGAACTCACCCCAATCGATTTCACCAAACTTGGGCTTAAATAGATCAGACGCGTATGCCTGAAAAGGATGGCAATTTAAGAATGCTGAAGAAACCGGTCCACTTTTTAAATTAAATTTTGTAGAACTCAAGGAATTTCGGGGAACACTGAGTAGCTTCAACAGCAGATTTAAAATAGGTTACCATAGCAAGCATTAAAGAGCAGACACCAAATCCAGATGCAAAGAACAGTTTCTGTTGAACATATGGCCAGGGATTCTCACCATCAGGATTTCGAGGAGGTCCATTGTGAAACCTGTGAAATAATAGAGAAAATGATTTATGAGGGAGTAATTAATAAAATATCCCCAGAAAATGGTACAGTACAAACAACTTGATAGTAATCAATAGGGTGTAATTTGAAGGTTTTACCTTCTCATGAAAGATCTTTGAGCACCTCTAACGCTGGACATTAATCGTGATGCAAGCACCCTTGAAGCCATGACTGTCAAATAACAATTGGGGTAAAATTTTACAACTTTTGACAATGTTGTCTGAAACATAAACATAATCATCAAAAACTTGGAGCAAATAAACAAAAATCACTAGTAAACAGTACTGTACACCATGTGAAAATTCCCCGTTTTAGTAAGTATTGTTGGAACCCTGTTCTTGGGTTAATTAAATAACAAATAATACTCAATTATTATAAATACAAATTAGATGAATAAAGAGGTTATACAAATAAATGGTGTTTCAAATGTAACCTTTTTACTCTATGTACTCACCCTCAAATAGTGAATGAGTGATTGAAAGGTGATTGGTGTGACTCAGTTACTCACACTGCTCTAACTAATACACAATTCAATACTAAACTAAATAATGTCTTTTTACTATTAGATTAAACAACTATTAAATTAAAACTAATACTCTGATGATGATGTTCTTCTTACTATATGAGGGACTTCTGAATGATGAGGACTTCAACTAAACTGGAACTGATAACTATAAAACAAAACCCTGGGGGAAAACTACCGTGAGTAAAGTGAAAGGTAATCCACGTGAAACTATAAATGAAAGTGAAAGAGGAAGCGGGAACTCCTAGACTAAACTACTAAACTATAACTATAAACTACTTACCACTCTTTCCACGTCACAGAACACAGATGTAAGAGCCTGTAAACACGTACTTCCAACAGTACGACGTCAACAAATCTGAACACTTTGATGAATTGTCATACCCATCAGCCTCAGAGCCTGAGTTCGAGGTAGAGTATGAAGGGGATGACCAGAGCAACCAGGAAGAAGATCCCCAGGAAGTCTTTTATCAACAAAGAAATCAACAGCACAGGGATTTTTACTCATCTAAAAGACCTTTTAGACCAAGAACCTTTGGACAAAGACCCTACAGTCAAAGACCTTTTGGACAAAGATCCTTCGGACAAAGAACCTTTGGACAAAGACCTGCATTTCAAGGACAGAGTTCAGGGAACGTGTATCAACAAGCTCCATTTAGACCCAGACAAGGAGCACAAGAACAACGATCAGGACCCTTACGTTGTCATATTTGTAAGGAAACAGACCATATAATGAGAGACTGTAAGTACAAAACATTTGGAGGGAAGAAGCTTGCATTCTTTGAGTCTGATTTCCAACTAGAAGACGAAGACGAGTGCCTCACGTATCTTATGGGAGAATCGACAAATAGAGCACTTTTAGATACAGGTGCTAGTTCCACAGTGTGTGGAAAGAAATGGCTGACAGTCTTCGAGGAATCTCTCACATCAGCTGAACATGAAGAGGTCAAGGTGACTCCTTGTGAGAAGAATTTTCGTTTCGGGGATGGAGATGCAGTTACAGCTAAGATACAGAAAGAACTCCCAGTAACAATATGTGGTCAGAAAGTTACTTTAAGCGTGTTTGTTGTGGATAATGATATTCCTTTGTTACTGTCCAGAGAGTCTATGAAAAAGATGAAGATGAAGATCGATAATGAAACTGACAAAGTGTATGCCCTTGGAGGAGAGGAGAATCTAGTGATCAGCAAGT